CTCCCCCCCCCCCCCGCGTGGTAGATGGTCAAACAACTACTGCATGCAAACATGAGTACGCCCCGTACAGTAGTTGCCAATATGCTGTGTGTAGATCCGAAAACCCGAGCGAGGTGCCGTCTTTTACGCTTTGTTCCCATCAGCAGCGCTACTAGTAGATAAACCAACAGCCGCCGTAGACTTATGTAGCGGTAGAGGACTGCTTTCAAGTGCCCCCCCTCGTATTGTGGTGTACTTTAGATATAGCAGCACCAAGTTGCGCACTGCACCGTCGGCGTTGTCATCCCGCTGCACAATCTTCTGACTATTCCGTTCCCTTTGCCTACATTACGCGGCAACTCTGAAACAAACCGACAGGACATTTTGGACAAGCTGGACGATGCGACAACCGAGCTAATGACCGGTGAAGGCGACTCGGTGATGCTCATGCTGGGCGACAGTTTCATGGAGTGCGAAGAGGAGTTCGCCACGGACTACTGCGAGCGGCAGCAGGAGGTTGGCCATTCATTGTTTCGTTGGTCTTGCGTCAACCTTGCGTGGGAAGAAGAGAGGGTGCGCTTGGTTAATTTTTTTCGGGTTTCCATGCAGCATCAAACTCTACTCGGAAAGCCAACAGAATTGCTCGGCTGTCCCAGCAGCGCAAGAATGACTTGAGTGTTTGTTTGCGCGTTTGAGTGTTTGCGTTCTTTTGGCATCGACCGCGCAAGCCGATTGAAGTCGTGGATAGGCTTGCGTGTGTCTGACACACATCGACCGTGCTACAACTCACCTGACCAATGACGACGCACCTGTGTCTCGGGAAGAAACGCCTAGACATGTTTGTGTTTCTTTCGCTAGCGTGGACCGGACTATCCGGCTGACCAATGAGATGCCGTCAGCGGCTAATACTCGTGGTCTCCTTAACTTGGGCAACGTTGTGTGTATGAGCGCGTGTCTGTTTTGCGTGTGTTGAATTTCATTTTATTACCTTACCATCTCGTTGGCCGGCAAGCACCTGCACCGCCATTGGTAGCTGAGGATGTGGAGGGAGGGAGAGAAAATACCTGGCCTACATGGTTGCCTAGCACACCCCCCCTGAAGCAGGAAGAATTGGGCGCTAGCAGTTCATGGAGCACGTCCCCACCGTGGGAGAGTCGTTTGCATGTGCCTATGACGCTCTGGTCGGAGAGACCACCAAGCTTGTTGACGCCGGTTGTGCGAATGGAGGCGGAGGGTTGCGGCAGTAGTAGTGTGTGGTGTGTTCGCCAACTCGCGTTGTATCGAGATGTTTACGGCGTGCTTCTCGTTTGCCCTTGCCGTCACCGCGCTCCCGGCTTCGTGTGTCTGGCGCCCAAGAAACGGCAATCGAAGTTGGGCGATCTCGTCGACGAGGAGAAAACAATTCTGGAACGACAACGGGTGAGTTACAACAGTCGAGCGGTTTACACGGCTATTTCTGTCCGCGGCGGCTTTTCTGATCCTTCCGAGCGACATTGGTGGGACTTGTGGACGAATGCGGGCGTCGACCTTTGCGCCTGGTGTGATCACACCGAGTGGATGCATGCAGGAGGTTTTGCTAGCATGGTCGTTTCAGTCTTATCTTACGACATTTCTTATCTTGGCCCGATGGCCTTCTTGGCAGCGGCGGCGGCAGCGTGGTCGCTGCATCGTTGTCCTTTCGAGGGAAAGGAAACGTCGACCAACGAAAAATCACCGCTGGTTGTTGTTGGTCAAGAGCCGATAGCGCGGCGCACGCGGCTGTGTCAAGACAGCACAATCCCCGCCCTTTGATGATAGGGGGCGATGGTCTTCCCTGGCAACACGCCACAGGGTAAGCCCGCCCGCGGTCCTCACCTCAACAGCAGTGATTGGATCATCTCCTTGCTTCGTTCCACTTCGTCTGTTTCCAGAGATCATCCTAAAAACTTGAAGCTATCCCTCTTGGCATACCGATTGAATTAATCTCCCGCACCCTTCCCCCCGCCCAGGTCCTCAAGAAGGAATTGTACGCGCGGTTTGGGTCATCCATCCAGCTGGAAGCATGATAAAGCAAAATCGGAGAAGGACATGGTGTTGTTGGTATTTGGGAGGTTTGCTGATGTATTTTACGGGGGGGGGGGCGATGTGTTTCAAGCAGCCGTTGCAGGGTTTTCTATGACGTAAACAAGTTGGATAAAGCATGCACTCGGGGAAGTTGGGTTAGGGTTAGGGTTAGGGTTGGGGATGGGGTCAGCGTACCCTCCCGCTGTTCTATTTCCTCTTAAAGTGCATTTATCGCGAAGGCAGTCCTGTTTTCCCGGCTGGAGGTTCAGCCATGGTCACAGGGGTCACCAGGGCTTTTTTCCAATCGTCATGTTGTTGTATGCATACAGGCGTTGCATCGTGAGAAAACTGCCGTCGCATGCATGGCACCGTGCTAGCGGTGATTTCCTGGAAGCGTTTGCTGGTCTTTCTTTGACAAATTTAGAGGATTGGTTGATCTATTGTTTGCTGTAAGCTGTAAGCAGTATCAAACGCAGAGAGAGAGAGAGAGGGACGGCATTGTTGTTTCGCTCTTGGCTTTTGACCGTTCGCGCTGTCGTCGCTAGGCAGTGCAATGATGTACTCTTTCTTGGCTGCCTGCCAGCATCCTTTTGTCAAGCGGAGGCACCAGCATGTTGTTAGATGGGTCTTTGTCGAAAAATGGGAAGGAAGAGAGCCAAGACCACGGTTCGCGAAACTGCTTGTCAGGAATCATCTTGCCCACGGGTGCGTTTTCCCTACCGCACGAAACGTTCTACGGACCGTTCCTACATCTTTGTGGTTGCGAAATTTGAAGATGGCGGAGGAAGCTCCTCCCTTTCCATACACGACGATTCACCACCACAGAGTTAATTGCTCAACATACTCTGGCGTTTGACTGTGCACGCCCTCTCAGGCTCGCACACCGATAATCTTTACTTCTCGGTGACGGCGTCACGTCTCCGAACAACGAACTTTTGTACGCCCGGAGTGATCGAGCTGCTGCTGTTGTATCGAAGGGCGCCTCTCCGAACTTTCAGCAAGAGGAGAGGAGATGCCGCGGAGGGGGAGGGAAAGGGTAAGAGGCCATGGAGGACAGCGCCGGAGGCAAACAGCATGTCTCAAATACTCGAGGCTCAAAAATGTGTGATTATGTGAGGTGCACCATCAATGTCAATCATAATACCTTCGATATGCGCGCCATCTAGTTGACCTAGAAGCGCAGTTGTGGCCGTCGAGAGAGAATTCTACGACCGGCCCTAGACTAAACCTCATAACTCAGACTAGAGTTTTTCACGTCTCAAGATCTCAACAGCAGTATACACTCCGAACGAACTGCTGTTTGTTAGTTTCTTCTTTGGTTGATCTCAACCCTCTCAACTAAATATCTACCTGCTCTCAAACCTCCGAATTGTTGAGGTCGGTCAGGTCCTGAATCATATGCATAAATCGAACAAATCAGACAACAGTTCTGGTTCTCGGTAGGTTCTCCGCGTCGTTCCGGGTTCCTATCCGTTTCTCCCCCAATATTTTGTTCCGCCGCATGTTAAGTCGTAGCGTCGGAGCACAAGGCTGGCACAAGATACAACAGGAGAGAGGAGAGTAGCGCACCACCCCGGTCGCTCCTTGGGAGGAGAATGATCCTCCAAGGTCTTCTACAGTTCTTAGGCTTGACACGATCCCGCCCGCCAACCCCCACCTGCGAGTTGCCCGGTTGCTCAAGGCCGTGCTTCATAGAACCAAATGGACGTGTCCATGATTACTGCGGTGTTACACACGCCCGGCAGGCTCAGGCACCATCATCACCGGCCCCAGCCGCACCCCGGTTCGACGGAACGAGGGAGTACGTTTCCCAAGGCGTGCTGCTTTTTTGGCAGCCACCTTCCGTGTTCTCGCAGTGGACGCCTTCGGTTTTCGTCGTCGACGACGTGAGCCAGTCTCCCGCATGCTGGCTTTTTGTAGTCTGTCCCTTTGGAGACATGTTTTCCTCATGCATCGTGTACCCCTGCGCGCACATGGCACGCTGCGCGTGTGCAGCATTCGAGGCGAAGGACGCAACTTTCGTTGGGCGCGCCTAGGATTCTTGGGACTTGTGGCTGAAGCCGTGTTCCTCACACCATTTTTTTGGAAGACTGCTGCTGGCGTCTACGTTAGTCCGTTCGCGATCATGTCCTAATCTCCTCCTTGTTCCCCTAAAAAAACACCGCAATTTTTCCCACGCTTCGTTCAGGTGCAGTACAGCTGTGCGGAACAGTACATGATGGCAGAAAAGGCCAAGCTTTTCGGCGACAAAGATAGCTGGCAGAAGATCATGGCGACGCACAGCCCCAGGTATACATACAGCCACACGTGGCAGGTACAAATACACCGCCACAGTTGGTTGCTCATATCCATTTCTGTTCGACTGAGTAAGACTTCAAGGCAAAACTACTGTAGATACCATGATGCAGACGTTTCCTGTTTTTTTGGAGGAAGAGATTTGTCAACTCCACCGCTACCTACGCCGCCCAACCGGACGCCAAATGGGTGTCTCAATGTGGTGGCGCATATTCGGCAGCCTTGGGAGCAAGCGAGTACACCGCTGGCCAATTCCTGCTGAGCGTTTTTCACGGTGTCAAAATTTCGCAGGGAGCACAAGAACCTGGGCCGGGGCGTAAGCGGGTATGACCAGGACGTGTGGGACCAGCACAAGTTGCACATTGTTGCGCAGGGGAACTACGCCAAGTTCACCCAAAACGAAATGATGGGGCAACGCCTGCTTGACACCGGGAAAAAGGTGCGTGGCTGCACCGCGTGCTTTGTCTTGGCGTTCCGCTCGCTGGCGAAAGTTGTGAAGTACGCGTATGGATACTACACGTAAGAGCCGTGAGGGTGTTGCGTTCCGACCAACGTTCAGTGACGTTTCGTTGTTTGGACTCTTGTAAAACGTTTATTTAGCCCAGTGACGGTAGCCTTGAAAGCCATAATACCCTTTTCCCACCAAACCCCACGCTCAATCTTGGTTCATCCCTTCCAACACCTTCCAACGCGTTCCAGCACAAAAGCACCGCGAATTCATGCCCCCCCACCCCTAGTCGAAAGGCAGCCATGGCGTTCTCCGTGCCGATCGTGTACGATTGGGAATCAACGGTCGAAAATCACCTTATGCATCATCGAGATCAAATGCCTCCATCCCTCCTCTACGCCGTCGCCCCCTCACTCCATCAGATCATGCCCCACCCCCCACCCCCCTTCCCGAAAACACACGAAACAAGCTCTTGGCTGAAGCGAGCCCCTACGACCGCGTGTGGGGGATAGGGCTTCGTGCCGACAACCCTGCTGCGAGAACACCGTCCTCATGGCGGGGACAAAACCTGCTCGGTAATATCCTGCAGGAAGTGAGGACGCGGATGATAGCGGAAGCAGTCGGGGACAAACCTCCCTCTCCCCCACCTCCCTGACTGCCAAGTAGGAATAAGCGATAGAGGCAGGCTGCTGTACGGGGCCGACTTTACCAAGCCCCCCACGAGATGTAGCCGGGGGGCTAAGATTGCGCCTTGTTTGTGTGTGTGTTCCTTTCTGGTGGATCTGGATACAAACGATCTTCACTCACTGCCGCACTTTTCCCTCAAAGTAGTGCTATTGCTGTGAATATAAGCGTGTTGGCTAGGTGTCTCGGTTCTTTTTCTGCAGATCAGCGTAGCAGTGCTCCCTTGGCGTGGCAAGAGTGCCAAAAAGCAACACACACACACGAAGAAAAAGACTTCGTCTGCCCAGACTCTCAGCGTCAGCGACGAGTGAGTGCGATCGAAAAGGTCTGCCATGCGGGTAAGCGCGGCATTTCTGAGAAGTTGAGAAGGTTAACCGCTCAAGAGAATGTTTTTCGGGGCTTGTCCCCTGGTGGAAACATTGTTGAGAGCTTGCGCTCGACGTTTGGGGTGGTCGGCTAACGATGCCACGAACCTCACCGAGTGGTGCTTTCGGCTTCCTCGAAACGGCGCACGAAGCGAGAGTTTGCCAACAGCGAAGGGCTGTCAGAGTTCGAAGCGGGTACGGATTGTGCCAAGTACGAGAGTCTAGAGCGGCAGAGCTATCGGAATATTGAGGAGTTCTCAGCTGGTCTTGGCCTAGGTAGGGGATGAAGGTGGGACTTCGGGAGAGTTGGAGATTCCTATTGGGTAGGACCGAAAAAATCATGGGAAACCTTCATGGGAGTTCGTCACGGGAAGTAGTTTTCTCGTGGTTTTCTCGTGCTCTTGATTCTCTACACAAAGAGCGGAGAAAAGGGCGATCCTGTAAGCACCTTCGCACGAGAGTGCAGTCCCCTCCAACGTCTATGGTTTTCCGCTATTGCTGATGTGGTGAAGGAAAGGAAATTGCAGATAGATGTTGGTTGTAAACAGAACAATTGTTCCCTTGGACATTCCGCGCGCTTCCCTCCGCCCTGCCTTGTTTTATCATGGCGCTCTTCGAGAGGGGGTAGTTGTGGGTGTACCATATGTAAACACGCCCGGGAACTATGCGTGGTGTCGATAAACCAACCCCGGTTGCCCGGAGGGACAGTCTATTCTTCTGTGTGTTGGCTTCGTCCAGCTCGGCAAGGATGAGCGTAGTCTCGTGGTTGATTTTCCAAGTGTGATGTGCGCATAAAACTGATACGCGTGTCTTTGTGATCGCCGTTCATTTAAACGCGGCTGGTTGTGCCATGTAAGTGGGCGTGGATGACTGTACGCTTGTTCGTAAAGGCGTGCCAAAAGGTGGTGGCTCGCTGGCAATCTCGAGCATAGCACTGCTGCTCTTCGTACGAGGATGGGTCGGGGGAAGGGAAAGACCTCTTCATGTGGGTACGATCAGCATGTGCCCTCGTTTGTGTAAGATAAATACGTGTGTAGGGCGGGTAGCTCTCCGTCATGGGTTCGGCACGTACGGGCTAGGACATAGATTGATTGGTGTCGGCGACAAGAAAAATGGGGACAAGATGAAAAAACTGGCTCATGTCTTTTGTCATCGTGGTGCACGTTCACCTCATGGTGTCTCCTGATTTCAAACGCGCGATCTTGATTGAAACATTTCCCAATGTCTACCTTAAGGCCATGCCCTACAGCGGAGAATAGCTCGCATGCCGGGAGCCTGATGCAACAGAAGGCGCCCTGTTTCCTTGGGACATGCGTCTCCCCTTCTCCTCCTCACACTCCAAAAGTTTGTCCTCTTGTCGTTGTTCGCTGATACGCTACTGCTCTACCGCAACTCTGCCTCGCTCACCTATGGTAAATCCACTCCACCAATGCAGCTTTACGTGACAGTTCTCTCCACGTCAAGGGAGCAATTCACCCGAACTCAAACGGCTGCGATTGGCGTCGGTAGACATGCCATTCGAGACACATAGAGACGGCCGTTGATGGAATCTCTCAGAGAACAATGACAAGCAAGCACAACTCAAGCTGTGGCTTGTGCGGAACTCCCCAAACGCAACAAAGACCGAGCCGTTTCACAAAAAAACAGTTGCGGGGGGGGGGGG